TAAGACATCTTGAAACAGCTAGAGAAGGACGAAATGGAGCTACAAGATTGTCGGTCACAGTGCTATGACAACACTGCTGTGATGGCTGGACACAGAAGTAGTGTTCATCAAAGAATAAGTGAGAAAAACAACCTGGCAGTGTTTGTGAATTGTGACAATCACTCACCCAACTTGGTGGGTGTACATGCAGCCAAGCAGGATACAATGATGGTCTACGTTTTTTTTTTTTTTTTTTTGGAATCATCGAAGCTCTCTACGTCTTCTTCTCTCGTTCAACACAGTACTGGGAAAAACTCAAAATCGCTGTGCCTGTGGTTGTTAAGTCAGAGTCCGAAACCAAGTGGAATGCAAGGACAGAAGCAGTGAAGCCCGTCAACAAGTACCTTGAGGAGATACTTCAAGTTCTCCGGGACATGATAGACAATGAAAACGAGACCAGTGAAACAAGAAGTGACGCAAGGCAGCTGTATAACTGCATGTTGAGTTACGATTTTCTGACTTTGCTAGGATTTTGGAACAAAGTACTCATTCGCATTGACCATATTCAAAAGAGGCTGCAGGATCCTAGCATGAGCTTCCATGGTGCTGCCCTGGATTTGAAAGCCCTCCGAGATCATTTTGATGATGAAAGAGAAGTGTTTGTCAGTTAGTCACTCGAAGAAGGATTCGGTCTCTGTCAAGAATGGAATATTGAAGTTGAAAGAAGTCAGAGACGAAAGAAACGGATGGCTGATGAGAACTCGAGAGACACTAGTTTAACAGTCAAGGAGGAAATGGACGAAAGGTTCGCTCGTTTGCACGACACTGACGCCAAGTTTGGGTTCCTTCTCAATGTTGAGGGACTGTGTTACGGCGCCGACAGTAACGACCTAAAGAAGAAGTGCGAAAATTTGGGCAAATTGTACAGTTCTGATGTTGATGGACAGCAATTATATGACGAAATTTTGGATTGCAGAATGTTGCTATCAAGTCGGGCCAACATGAAAATATCAAAACCTGAAGAGCTTCTCGAATTTATTGTTCAGTATGGAGATGAGTTGTGAGAGATCATTCAGCAAGTTAAAACTAATACTTTCGTATCTGACAGCCTCCATGGGTCAAGGCAGACTCTGTGATTTTGTTCTGCTGAGTATAAAAAGAGAAGAAACTGACTTTGAGCACATCATAGACCAATTTGCATCAGTGAAAGCAAGGAAGGTGCAGTTGTAATTTTCATGTAGTGCCATAATTTGTTAATTAAAAGATTAACGAGCTTGACTTGTATATTTTTGAGCTGGTATTATGGTAAAGTTATCTAAAAAGATGGATGTCAGATGTTTGGACAAGAGCGAAATTTCAGTGCTTGCCATTAGCGCTATTTTCGTAGATACGCCCCTGCCCTAATGACCTCATTAGATGTTAACTGCATTCCATGCTTTGTGGAAGGTAATAAATAATTGACTCTCTTAAATGATTAAGTACTTGTGTCTTTAAATTAAAAGCCAAAAGTCTATACACAAAAGTAGAAATGTGCTCTATTTCAGCGTATTATTCTACTCCCTTCTTGGGTAAACATCTTAAAACAAATTAGCCCATGTATTAGGTCGCAAGAAATTAATGGCGCGTTTCGGAACACTTTTATTAACCACCCCTAAAAAACGTACATCACGTATAATAGTTCAACGAACTGCCTTAACGTCACGTTAGTGTAGCCTATATAATGTGTAAAGTTTAGTATATCCCTTTTAATGATGGCACACGACCAGACACACATTCAACATGTAATGCTGTTGGAATACAAGAAGGGAAACAACGCCTCTGTAGCCACAATGAATATCACAGAAGTTTATGGAAATGTTTTGAACGTTTGTAAGTGTCAACGATGGTTATGAAAATTTCGTTCAAGTGATTTTAGCCTTAAGAACTGTGATGACAGGGGCCGACATGTTGGAATTGATATTGATACTCTGAAGACTCTTCTTGAGTCTAACCCAAGGCAACACACTCGTGAAATGGCACTGAAATTAAATGTCTCTCATGAAAAAATACGTAATCATCTAAGGAATATGGGAAAACTCCATAAAGAAGGTGTTTGGGTGGCTCATGAACTCTCCCATGATCATCGTTTCCAACGTATGAAGGTTGTTTTGTCTCTTCTGGCGCGTAATGCGTGTGAACC